TCAAGGGCCATGTCCTCAGTAATCCTAAGTCGTGCCATGTCCTGTCTGATCACCTCTCCCCAATACTTCTTAGGTCGTCCTCTACCTCTCCGCGTGCCCACTACAGCCAGTCGCTCACACCTCCTCACCGGTGCATCAGTGCTCCTCCTCTGAATACATGCAACAAGAAAAAACTGAAAATTGGTTATTATTACACCTTAAAAATTATATTTCTGTTCCTCGATTTTACATTGAAAACATTACAGTGAAGAAATTTAAAGCAAGCTCAAAACCCTAGATACAGATTATATTAAAGAAACTAAAATAGAGATAACATTTAGGGTTGATGATAGAAAAGGCTAGGGTTGATGTGTTTACCTCCAAACTAAAACAAAGATAATGTTTGCACTTGATTCTTCAGGGACCTTCAACTTCGAACGACTTTTCAACCAAATCGTCAAATGAAACAATTAAGAACAAACGGAAAGCACCAGCAACAACGAAATCAAAGGATATTGCAACACGTCCCTTCGATTTTGGTCAGGCAAATTGATTTTGGAGAGGCTAATCGGATCTTTGAGGGTGGGGTAATAGGGTTCTTTACTTTGAGAATTTTTCACTGAGGGGTTAATGGGTTAATGAGTGACTGTGTAATGTTATGTTTATGTTTATTTACGGAAGGATTTAATTACGTGGCTTCATAATAAAAGCGCATGTTTTCCACTGAAGTTATTATAGTTAGGTCAGGCCTTAGGAAGGAGTAAATAAATACAGTTCTTTAAACAATAGTGGAGTGTTAGGACACCCATAAAGTTTAGGTGTGTGAATAACTTTCCAGTACAAGTTGAATGAGGTCTTTATGCATTTTCTCTTGAATGAATAGTAAAGATTCATATAATTGATCATTTTCACTTTCATGTCAAAAACTTTGACTTGCACTTGCAATATAGAATTAATCAAATTTGAATAATTAAAAAAAATAAGCAAATGAATTCTACTAAGAATTTTCACGTATAATACAAAATTTATTACAAAAACATAAACAATAATCGGTATTTCTTGTGGACACCTCGAGCTGACATGAGTATTTGCCTAATAAAAATAATCCAAAAAACAAAAATAGGTCTGAGGCCAGCTCCACACATCTAAACCCTACTTCTTCATCACCATCAACAAATCCAACCCTAAAAAAAAATGAAAACCCTAAATCTCCATCTGATAAAATGATCCCATAATCTTCACAATCCCACACTCAACAGAAATCCAAAACCACAATTCTCAACAATGTCTCAAGATGGCTCAGCAGCAGCAACAATGGATCGGAAGAAGGATTCTCAATCAACAACAAACCCTACCCGAAATGGTAACGGTAACGGTAACGGCGGAACAGCAACAAACGGCGCCGTTTACCCGTCACTCAATTCTCTGAGGTTGCGTTTAAACCCTAGTATTGATCACAAGTCGGATAATTATGAAGATCTTCAATTGGATTTTAGTCCATTGTTATTTAGCTCGCTCGAACGGTACCTTCCGCCTACTCTCCTCAATTCGTCACGTGACCATAAAGTTCATTACATGCGGGAAATTCTCCTTAAGTATTGTCCTGAAGGTGAACGTACACGTGTAAGTATAGCATTTTCAATTTTGTAAATTACATTTTTCAATTTTGCGTTTGTAATTTGCATGTGATTGTTGTTGTTCTTTGTACATTTTGATTAGTGTATATATTATGTTAGAATGTGGGTAGTGAATTGAGCCATTATTAACTGATGAGAAGCTGAAAAGGGAAAACTTAGAAGCTGAACTTTTTCTGTGCTTTGTATTGCAATTTTGCATGTACGTTGCCATTAAGCAATTTGCTGAAAAATCAACTTTTTTTATGTCGAATTAGTTTTCTCAATGAAACACCTTTGTTAGTATTAAAAAATAGTGAAAGGGTGGCTTGTGGAGCTCTAGGTACGCAGAGCTGTGAATTCAGCTGTAATAGAGTGCTTATATGCTGTTTGATGAGAATGAAAAAAACAAAAGAAAATAAAAAGCTAGAAAAATCTGGGCTTTTTGATGGTTATTGCTGAAAATCTCGGGCTTTGTTTTATTCTCATCCATTATTGTCCTGAACGTGAATTTGCATTTTGCACGTGGTTTTTTTTTTTGTATTTTTTACCGTGGTATCTAGGTCAGCTTGTGCGTACCTCTATTATTCCACCGGATACCTGCTACCTCCACCGGCGCAGGTACTAGGTAGCTCTATCCACTAAGACTTAGGCGGATGAGAAAAAATCATCTAATATTATTTTGCCTCCGCTATGATTTGAACCTGATACTTCGTGATTCTCCTCCCACTGACCACTAGGCCACACCCTTGGGTGCGACATAGCTTGTTTCTCTTTTCAATAGGCAAATGATTTAATAATTCAGGGAGATGTGACCCGAGTATAGATGGATATAAGAACAACCAAAATTTTGGTTAAAAAGAACATGTGATCTAAGTTAAACCTACCTGGTTAATTTGTTTATAATGTGGTGGAATATTTACAAAACATGCCAGTCTCCTAATGAAGTCCTTGTTTACCCTTGAACTATTAGGAATGTTGTCTGCTGATATAGTCTTCTCTGAATGTCCTTTGCTTTCCAAACTTTTCCTTGCTATTTGTGAGATTGTACTCTCTCTCTCTCTCTCATTCCGAAACTCTATCAGTACAATATTGTTTCATCTCCTCTGCTTTAACAGGTGCAGAAGCATAGGGAATACCGACAGAAGATTATATCAAACTATCAGGTATTTACGTTCTGCAGAAGGGATTTGTAGGTTAATATTTCAGTGATGGTTGTAAATGAAGACATCAATTTTTATACTTTTTGTTGTTAAGTCTATTAAAGTAAGGTAAGAAAGTTTACGTAACTTTGCTTGCGTTTTCTCTGGAGAGAAATGCCTTTCCATTTAAAGAATTATAAGCATAGAATGTAATGCTCATTGATCTTCGTTTAGCATTAATCTTCTTCCTTTCTATTTTCTAATTAGCTTTCCTTTTATTCCAGCCTCTACACAGGGAGTTATATACCATGCATGCTGCGAATTTTTTTGTGCCATCATTTCTTAAGGCAATTAGCGAGAACACAGAGGAAAGTTACAGAAACATAATGTCGGAACCCTCTCCTGGAGTTTTAACATTTGAAATGCTTCAACCACGATTTTGTGAGATGATGTTGGCTGAGGTATCAACCGGCTTGCTGCTGTTATTTTGCATGCTAAATCTAGTTTTTCTTTGTAGTTTAGCATTTCTGTTTTCTTATCAGGTTCTATTGCTTAGGTAGAAAACTTTGAAAGGTGGGTCCGCGAGACAAAGTTCAGAATAATGCGTCCCAATACAATGAACAAATTTGGTGCCGTTCTTGATGACTTTGGCCTCGAAACTATGCTTGACAAGTTGATGGAAGATTTCATTCGTCCCATTTCAAGAGGTAAGAATTTTACTTTTAACTGCGATGCAGCAAGAAAGGAGAGAGGATCTGATTGTGAAAATTAGTTGGCTCTTCTCTTAGTCTTCCTCTTTGATATTTTTGTGCAGTTTTCTTTACTGAAGTTGGTGGATCCACACTTGATAGCCATCACGGTTTTGTTGTCGAGTATGGGATGGATAGAGATGTTGACTTGGGTAAATTTTTGTATGCTTTTGAGTACGGGCACACTTTTACCCTTTCTTTAAGTGAATTTTTTACCTTATCAAAAAAAAGTTATTGTTTGTTTAGTACTTATTGGGGTCAGCTATTGCTTTGAAGTGCCTCAAAGCCTTTTTGGCTCTGTGAGGGACATTGTCTTGCATCTCAACCAATTTAATTTTCAGGTTTTCATGTTGATGACTCAGAAGTAACTTTAAATGTGTGCTTGGGTAAGCAATTCTCTGGTGGAGAGCTGTTCTTCCGTGGAGTGCGGTGTGAGAAGCATGTAAATACTGAAACACAACCTGAGGTAATTATTGTTCCGTTGTTTGATTAACTGTGCACGAGAAATCTCTGTTTCAATAGGAAGCCATGTTTCCATTATTTCATATTTATCAACAAAAAAATTCCATTATTTCCTATGTATTTTTGTTTAAATGGTTATTGTGTTGTCGAAACTAGTAGCTTTTTGCACAGTGCCCTTACTGTCAACAACCTGGTAACCAAGTGTATTGCAACTTTTTCAGAGAAAATGCTGACTGTTTATTGTGATAATTTGAAGTCGTGATAAATGTTAAACCTGAGTTTCAAAGCTGGATCCATGACAATCTTCTTGATCACGTGCCGGAACGGAAAAAGGCAGAGGACTGCTCTTATCTCTTTTTACTTTTACAAGTCAAAATGATTCCATTGATATCCACCATACAGTGTGAATGAACGATAAGCTTCAGGTGAAAAAACGGAAACCTCCAACTATATAAAGAATATGACATGTCTTCTTTACACCAGAAGTACAAATGAAACAAAATGTAGATTTAACTCTCCACATTGGACTCTCAACCCCTTCAAACATTTCTTCTGCTCCTTCTCCATATTAGCCAATTAAAGAGGCACAACTTTCCATTATTCGCTTATACTGGCATCCAACTGGTGGTACCTTTTATTGGCACCTTACTTTGAATGCAGATTTGCTTGCTTTATTTCTCCATAGTAATCAGTGATGATGAATATATGCTGTGTTATTACCAAGTTTATCAGCTCATTCTCGAAGTCTACATATGGTTTAAATACTGAAGAAAGAATGTTGTTAGCTCCACGTTATTTGTGTGTTAGAGTATATATCATCAAATTCAAAATACAACTTATGCATGTCAAGAGCATTCACTATGGATTTGGAATAATTTAACAGGAGATCTTTGATTACTCCCATGTCACGGGGCGTGCAGTGCTTCATCGTGGTCGCCATCGGCATGGTGCTAGAGCAACAACATCGGGGCAGAGGATCAACTTGTTGTTGTGGTGCAGAAGGTATTAGATGCTGTTGCCTTGCTATTTTGATCGTTTCCACTAGACAATTTGCTTCAAACACAGTCGTGAAAATTTGTTATTGTTGGAATATCCTGTTACCGCTGCATTACCTACTGTTTGAAGTTTTAAGCTGTGCTTCATAATTGTTTGAGAACAGCAGTGGATGCAGCTCTTTGGCAACAGGTTCATCTGAACCTAGTATTTTTTCCGCGGTATGTGAAAACCCGCTAAATTTCAACAAATAAAAAAGGGCAGCCCAGCACACAAAGCATCTCGCATTCACACAGGGTCCGGGGAAGGGCCGCATCCTAAGGGGTGTGATGTAGACAGCCTACACTAATTCCACTGCTCGAACCGGTGACCTATAGGTCATACCGAGACAACTTTCTCGTCGCTCTAAGGCTCTCCTTCTTAAATTTCAACAAATATTAGATCTAAACCCATACTTTTTAGAAGAACAATGAGTTCAGAGCTAAGAACCTTAAAGGTCAAACCCATCTAAGTTTAAATCCTTGTCTGCCTCTGTTTAAGTATGCAATATTGATGCTTAACTACGGTCTCCATTTTATCTGCATAGTCCTCCTTGATGCAGATATTTGGATGTTTTCCATTTTATTTCTGGCATCAGTGCTTCAAGTACTGAAAGTAGTTTATGTATATCAACTTTCAATGATATGAGGAGAAGTAGTGTAAAGTGACGGTGGGGAAAGGAGCGAATACTGTCTTATAATCATGAAAACATGATGCTGATATTCCTTGAGGCACCTAAATATATGTGCCATGCTGAGTTGGCAACTGAAAATGGCATGAGTTAACTTGGAATAGCATAGTTTAGCATGTTTGTAGAAACGTTGATTAAATGGTTACATTATATCTAGATCTCAACTTTTTCCCTTGGCCATTGATAGTGGTTGGTCATACAGACATCTACTAGTTATCGTGATTTGTCAAATTTTTTATGGATACCTGATTACCTGGTGGTTATGGTATCACTCATTCTCCTTTTTCACAAAATAAAAGAAGAGTTTTGATAAACAGCTGAATGCATATCATGCTTTCTGGAAAAGCTTTTCTCAAGAATTGGAGATGCACATATTATTGATTTTCTTTTTCAGTGATGATAGGTAACTTCATATAGGATAAATTCGTTTTGCACTAACTGTTTTACATGGACAGTGTGCTTCATGGTATTCCTAAACCTTGAACCATGTTTTGCTCATGTTTGGCTTCAAACTTATCAGGATTAAAATTGCTGGAGGTATTGCTAAGATGCTAAGAAAAATCTGATTTATACAAGGCTTCACTTCATATGATGCAAAATCTTTGCTTGGAGTATCTAATTGTAACTGCTTTTTCAAGAGGGGATGGTCCGGTGTTGGTAAAAGTGCATAACATTATACTTGTTCCAACTAAATAATTTGTTTTACTTGTCAATAAAAATTGTATGTAAAGATATGAACTTCTTTGCTGCAACTCAATCAGACCAGATCTCAATAATTCGGATGTCTTACTTTTATTCATCTTCCAGAATCATTGAATACCTGATAGTTGCTATCTTTCCCTTACAGTTCTGTCTTTAGAGAGCTAAGGAAGTACCAGAAAGACTTTTCCGGCTGGTGTGCAGAGTGCCAGCGCGAGAAGAAGGAAAGGCAACGACTGTCCATTGCTGCTACTAAATTGGTAAGCAATAATTGTCTCTTGTAATAACTTTAACAAATAGTTGACAAGCTCTGCTTATGCATTATGACATTAAAAGGTGAAATATAGTTAGAGCTGGTTGAAGTATTTTTCTAAATTATTTTGTCATTTGTCCTTTATGTTTTCCAGGAGCTGCTGAAAAGAGAAGGGGAAGCTGCTACATAGCTGTTCATTCTGTTTTCCTGCTAATTTTTTTGTTCGTCCTTTTGCCTCATGTAATATAGCTGTATGCTCATATTCAAGGCCGAAGAACTTTCGTGTTAGATATAATATAATATAATATAATATGAAAGGGTGTTGTTTGTGTTACTGAAATAGCTGTACATGTAAATCGAGTAGGTACCCTTCTATTTGCCAACTGAGATGGTATCAGTACAAAACTGGCAATCGGGTAAACATTGTTTTATAGTTATGTTTGTTAATGGGGGCAATTTCTTTCTCAATTTAGGCTATGCTATTCTATTGTGTTACTATTTCCTATTTTACAAAACTGTGCATGTTCTCCTGTATATACAATCGAGTATTGCAACCTTCTGCTAGCAGGGGTATCAAGTAAGTAGTAACGTTGTTTACCAGAACTTAGACAAAATGAAAAAAAATTACCTTACGATTTTCATACTTGACTGTAGGGGTGAGCGTTCGGGCAGTGCAGATTGAATATGAAAATTTTGGTTTGGATTTTTCGGACTTCAGAATGAAGAAAATCCAATCCAAATTAGCTCGGATTGGATCGGATTTTTTAAGTTCGGTTTCGGATTAATCGGTTTGGATATTTTGGATTTTCGATTTTGAGCTTATAAGTTGAGGTGTTTCTTAAACAGCCTCTCTATCCCAGGGTAGGGGTAAGGTCTGCGTACACACTACCCTCCCCAGACCCCACTAAGTGGGATTATACTGGGTTGTTGTTGTTGTAAGTTGAGGTGTTTCTTCTTTTTACAAAAATAAATTCAAATGAAATACTCATATTAAATTGCTTGAAAAGTTCCTCTTTCTCACCATAATCATCCAAATAAAGTATTCAAGTAATGAAATTTTCAAGCAAATGCAACAAAGACATTAATACGGCAGATAAGAAGTAGCTATAGTAAAACCATATCCAAATAGAAAGTATCATGACAATAATTTAGCACTAATTAATATTGAATTGTGAGATAATATCTAATGGGTGGGGTGTTGAACTTATTACTACTGATATGTGGATAATGGACTAAATTTAATAGGATTTTCGGATATCAAAAAATATGAAGTACCAAATCCATTATCCACACCAAAATCCAATCCGTAATCTGAAAATCCAAACCAAAAATTCAAAAAATTCGAATTTTGGTTTGGATTTCTAGTCTGCCCAAACTATGCCCACCTGTACTTGACTGACAAGTTTTTCCACATATGGGAGTTGCCTGAGACCCATTTGTGAAGACTGACCAGCTTTTATAAAAGTGAAGTTATCTATATTCATTTCCTTTTATAATTGTCGACTGGAGACTCTGCTCTTTAATGCAGCTAACCTTGCATATTGCTTCCTTTCTTCTATGTTAATAAAATGAAAAAAGAAAATGCTCCTTTTTCTTGAATTCATTTGAGGGGAAAAAAGAAAAGGGTGAAATTAAAAAATAGCCAGATTTATTAGTAATTGAAAAATAGCCATAATTTCAAAAATAAATCGAAATTTAGTCACTTTTTATGTAAAGATAAATTTGAACAAAAATACTATTCAAAATCCGGAAATATTCTAGCATAATATGCTGGAGTTCGAATTTTTTACATGTAAACATGCTGGAATTTCATAATGTGCTAGAGTTCCAACAAAATATGCTGAAAGTTCATACGCAAGTGCTCCAATTTCCAGTATAATATGCTGAAACTTTCTGCATGCTGGAATTCCAACATAATATGCTGGAAGTTTATATACATATGCTCTATTCTCCGGTATATTATACTAAAACTTTCCATGTGCAGTAGTTCCAACATAATATGCTGGAAGTTTATGCGCAAGAACTCCATAATTCAGTATATTATACTGGAACATTCCATGCTGTAGCAAAACATTGGCTATTTTTAATGACATTACAAACACTGGCTATTTTTCAATTATCAGTCCGAAAACTAGTTAGCCCGTGCTATTTTCACCAAAGAAAATATATTGATCAAAATTATTAGTTTGAAGCAGTAAGATTGTCTATATTAACCTCATCAGCTAGTCTCCAGATCCACTTTCTATAATACACTTGAAAAGAGAGGCAAATCTCATAGAATAGCCAAATAGACAATACATCTTCATATCGTAGCATGCCTGATCATATCTTTTCAAGTACCAAAACTCATTCAACTGGCTTCCTCTTTCTTCCAAGTACAGAAGCTTTCTGCAATCTAGGACCTCCCATTCGCCACTTCTTAAATGCTGCTGTTGATGACTGACCAGCTTCATACACTTCGCCATCAAATTATCAATAAAAACCAGAAAATTAGTAATGAATCTTACAAGTATTTGACCAGAAATATTTTTTGAAAGTAACATTTTAAAGTTTTAGTTCAGTGGTGTTTTTAGAAGAAGTAATTGTAACAAAACAAAAGTCTTCTGGCCTCTAAAAGCAACCTGAGATGATTTTCCAAAAATAAATAAATTTGGGAATAGAACTTCTAAAAACAACTATTCAATCACATTTTTGTTTTCTAAAACTTCAAAGAAGCGTGTATGAGATTCTCAAATGAACTGTCTAAACGCCACTACTCAGAGGAGTTTTTTTTTTCTTTCTTAGTTTGGGGGAAGGGCGGGGGGTTGAGAATCAATAGATTATAAGAATTTTCTCACATTTAGTCTCTTCTTTTGTCAGAAGAGTCAAGTTCTTGGGAACCACAATTGACGCTGCAGTATGAGCCTTGATGAGGACTTCTCTGTATCTTGTTCGAAATGCAACTAGAAGTAGAGGTCCAATGGTCTTCTCACCAATCCTGTCCAATAAGAAAGACAGAAAGTATAAGGTAATGTCAACCTGAAGAAACACCAAATTAGCATATAGGTTTGAAGGAAAAGAAAATCAGGAGAAACAACAAACTTGAGGCAACAAGAGCTGCAACTGCAATCTGCAAATGTACTACTACCAGATACACTTAGATGTACCAGAATTTGAAGAGACAAGATGCCTACCAACCACATCATTTAATGTGGCAAAAGAGAACTGGGAATAGTTAAAACTATTGATTACTGGTTTGCTATCAAATTTAAAGTAGCTAAGGTCTTGCACTACCATATTGTGCCACAGGATGAGCGGAGATCTTTATGATTTCTGCAAAAGACAGCTCATAATCAAACAGGGGAGTGAACGACTTTGGGTTTCCCTTCCATGTAATTAAGTCCTGATTTTACACAAGTGTAAACAAACGAGAGGCCTGTTCAACTCTGCTCAATTATATTTTGTGTGTTTCCGGCTTTTTCAAGCTAAAGAATCATGCAACAGTAACTGATACTCCTATAATAGGATCATGTCTACAAAGGATATATTAACCATGAAGCACACTCCTAAGTTTTAAGTACCTGACCTCAAGAAATGTCCTTTTCTGCTTTTAACAGGAACACTTCATTCACATAAAATTTCTAATAGAAAACCAGTCTGTACCCGTAGTCTACACAAAAGCTCTTGAATTCATTTGGACAATGCCAGCCTGTCAGAGAGTATCACCATATCTTGTAAGGACTAACGAGAGCTCCATCAGCGAACATATGCATAGCAAGGTCGGACCTTCTTTCCTTTGCTTTTCCTATTAGCTCGCATTTTTTTTGGGGGGGGGGGGGGAAGATAAGCTATATTGAAACGGAAGAGCATTTAAAGGTCCATTTATGCTCTAAATGTAGCATCGTTTCCTTTGTAGTCACCACCAATCACCATTTCCCATAACTCAGCTCATGTGAAAACTATTATCCCTTGGTACTACTTAGACTATATTAAGTTCTACCAGCAATCCTTTGGCTCAACTACCGGGTTGTTCGGACTCTTCACTTTCAGAGCCGCACCCGTGTCGATACGACGTGGGTGTGGGATCCGTGCCGGATCTGGTGAACCACTTTTGGGTACTTTGACCAAAATCGACAGAGAAATTTAGGACATTTCTGAAATCAAAACAAAAGCTAGGGTGAAATTGAAGAAAATGGAATAGCTTGTATATAGAAATTTCTGTGTCAATCATTTTCCTTTTATGTCTTTCTCAGATTCTCCTCTTGATCAATATTGTCTCCTTCTCGGAATACCTTATAAGTTTTCCAAATAATGTCTCATTATTTAAACATATTTTCATAACTCTATTTTAAGATATTTGAATTATTTTGAGCCGAATCTCCGCACCCGTATCCGTACATGGATTCGTACTCCTCAATCATTAAATTCAGATCATGACGGATCCGACCTCTAGATCCATACCCGTCTCGGACACCCACACTCGAGTCTGAGCAACTAACGCTATTAATGGTCAAGTAGAGTGCTTAGCATAAAGTACCATGAACTGCATGAGTTTCAGGATCAGACGCCATGCTTCATATAAAGTAATATGAACTACATCAGTTTCAATTAAAAGCTCTCTTCCGTGGCAGGGTTCTGGTCCACTCCTAGTTCACCTATAGAAGTTTGGCCATTTAGCATGCCTTCAGAACCCTTCTTCACATTAGCACAATCATTTCTCGCATTACTTGGCCACTATTGCGATCTAAGATCAGTCAATCTACATCAGCTTCCCCTACTTGGGGTTTTGGGAGGTTTTGCAAAAGAAGAAACAGGTGCAAAGTAACATAACAGTTGCAGGAAAAAAGGAACAAAGACAAGAAGAACTCACAGGCGTGCTATCTTGCATCCAAAATTATAAAAGTAGGGGCATAAACTTCTCAGATCCACATGTGCTGCGTCAGCTCCTATCTCATTCCTCGTTTTGGCTCTGGTAAATTAACATATAAGAAACAAATAGGTAGAAACTTCCAAATCTTGGAAATTGGATCTATAAAACAAGCATGGTGTGAATTATCATATGAGATACGTCAAGTTTTAGACGGTTCGTGCAAGTGTCTAAATAGCAGATTGTCATCAGTCTGAAGAGAACATCAACCAATCTAAATCTATTACTAATTTTTAAGGATAACTCTGCACAAGGTAAGATCGAGTGTCCATAAATATTCAACATCTCTTTCAATATCTGCCACTTCGCATACTTAACTAATTCCACTGGTGTATCAAGTAAAAGTAAACATGAAACCATGATGAGAAACACTAAGAACTTTACTTGGTATCAAAGTATGGAGGAACTTTAATCGACACGGCCTGTCTCACGTATAGCTCCTGGGCAAGCCAAAAGGGCATTTCTACTTGTGTGCCAGCTTCCACCTGGAATTGAATGGGGAAATAAACATCACAATTTGGTCCAGAAAATAAGAGTTTTAAGTTCTAACTTCTAACACCAA